TGGTAGCAACCAGCGTAATGGTGTGTCCAATGAGCAATCAAAGTTGTTCTTTCGAAAAAGCTTACTTAAGCGACCTAACAACCAATTGGCTTCGTAAGCACTTAGAAAAATAATGTCGTCCTTTCGATAAACTAAAATCCAGCGTGAAGGACATAGATAGGGACTTAGCGATTCTCCTTCAACCTCAATGACACGTGGAAATTGTGTCGTTACCCAAACCGATAGAGGACGAGTATTTTGCTGTTCTTCATCTAATAACTGTGCAAGACGTTCTTTTTTGTTCCACTATATTTCTTTAAGTACTTTAATACATCCTTATGAATTTCTATTGATGAAGTGTTATTCAACAGTTTGTATCTTACTAAATAAATTTCAAACACTGTTTGTATTATTTTTTATGCCCCGTACATTCTTTTTAATTCTATTATTTCGGGCTCTAATCAATTTTCAGCTAATTTCTGCATCAGTGTATTTGTAAAAGGTTGTTATCAATCGTTCCACTGAATATTGCGAAATGCAGCAGCTTTTCGTTGGAAACTTAAACTTTGAGTAGCTCAATGATGAAGTCTATCCCATATTGCTGGTTAAGTACTGTCATATATCCAACGAAGAATATCAATCAACTGAACTCGATCATGACGTTTTTTCTTGCATAAACTGTTTTTCAATATATAATGACCGTGTCCTAATTTTCGCGTTCTCATGCAAGCTTAAACCAAACAATTTTTTGTTAGACTACTTTCTAACGTTACTGCAGCTTTCAAACCAGTCGAAAATTTAAAATCAATTTCTCTCGTAGGAACTTCATCTAAATAAATGACGCAACGATCGAGTCATTCACTAGCAGATGTTAGAGATTAATGATGATGACCCCCTTGACGATCACAAGCAATAATAGACTCCAATTCTAAATAAACTACATAGTCAATCTTGCTTTTATCGGTCATCTTTAACCATTTGACAGCTATTTCAAGCTTTCCTCTATGGGCTACCAGTGCATCAACGTCTAACATAATTTGAATTCTGGATTTATAATGAACGATTTGTGTTAAGATGTCGCTCATAAATACATACTTTAGTGAATAGCGATAATTGGGAACAATTGCATCAGGTTTCTAAAATTCCGATAAATCATATTGACGGATATGAACAGGTAATAACAATTGTGTATCATTAGTACCACTGGAACCAGTGATAATTTATGATCTTGATTGTGCTGATAAATCTTGAAGAGATTGAACCAATTTATGAAAGAACTGTTTGACTTCTCCAGGAAATACAAAATGCTTGAGAAAATAATTGATAATGCACATATTGTATCATAGAGTTGGGAAAAGATAACAAGTTCATTGTTGATAATCTTTTAAATTTGCACTTTTTCATTATCTAATACTAGAATGGATTTGATCGTCATTTTCATTCGAAATCTATTCATCATAAATCAATTGAGGATCACCTTCTTTTTCAGTTAAACGCTTAAAACATTGCAGTATTTGTGACTCATTTAAACTGAAATTATAGTATGACAATTGTGTTAGCATGATTGCTGCATCGACCGAATTCAGTTTTGTTCGCAGTCACATCCTTAGCACGAAATGATACGACTGTCAAACGATGAAAAGATGAATTTGGATTTACATTGAAATGAACTTGACATTGCTTCTTGAAAGAGACAAGTAGCACTTTACATAATAATAAACCACGAATAATGAGAAATAGCTGAATAGCATTATCAGAAAATCGATCGATCACACAGTCTATTGATTCTTCTGTCTTCAAAATGAATTTCGAGATCAGTGTTTGACCTGCTTCACTATAATGCTTTTTCTGGAGTCAATTATAAAAGATTCTTTGGCGCAAAAATGGAAACAATCGGTTGAATAATACACGAAATCGTGAAAAACGACTTTTATAAAGAGTTGATTTATAGGAAAATTCATTTTTATAGCGTTCTTCTATAATTGGAGCATGTTTCTTGATTAAATTTAATATTGATTTAATAGTTTTCCAACGTTCCTTCCATACCACCATCGACTTGTTCTAGACATCCAATTGCATAAATCAATTGATATTTCACATGTAGAATTTCATCTGATTCATCGAGAATATCTCGAGCAAAGTTTTTTACCCAATGTTAAATAGATAACATCGGACAACCAATATCAAATTCATGTCGTCGACATTTTTCTATTGTGAGCAAACTAAAAGATAGAAGATCTTCTGAAGACGTCATTACTATATCACCATTATTTAATGTTTGCTTGAAACGATCAACAATTAGGTCGATTTGTGTACTATTGAAATTCATATCATGGCGACAAGCAAATGGCATAATACATCGATTTAGTAGACCATCCAATTTATTTCTCAACAATTGATAATTCATCGGAAATAATGACTTTAATACAATGATTCAAACTAAACTCGAAGAGGATGAAGTCAAACTGAGCGCTAACTTCAGTAAAATGACTGAAGTTTTGCCTTCGCCCGCATTCATTTGTATGGCGACATTTCTTTTTCAAATTCTTCTTGTTTGCCATGGCTAACAAAATCTAAAGGTCTCACGATTTGCGGTTTTACAACCCAATTGACTATAATGTCATCGAGTAGTGTATGTTGATCACTGGTCAACTTCAATTATAACGACAGTTCTTGAAAGACAGATATCATAATTGTTGACACAATGCATTATAATAAATCAGTTTCAAATAATAATTCATATCAAAGTTGGATAAATTCTTGACGAAAAAAAATCAAGAAACTGATTTATTTCCTCTATGGAAGGATATTCTTTTCGATATTCGTTGGCTGATTGAAATTGTTTAGAGCTTGCAGCTAATTGTTTTTTCAAATGATTAGATATATTATTAAGAGAATTGATTTGAGGATCGGTTGAAATAAAAATTTCATCTGAAAATGTTTTTTGTCGATTTTTAATTTGAACAGTGGCTATTGGTTTGATGAAATAGTCTAAATGAGGATGTAGACATTTTTTGCTGCACTATCAAGCAACTTTCGATCAATAGATCAATCTGTTCGATTCAGTTTTATTTGATAATGACTTTGAAATGATTCCACTTCAAAGTGTTGAGGACTAACAGTTATTTTTGTATTCAAAAGAACGAATGGAATTCTTGATTCGATCGTCAAGATCTTAATAGTTTGTTGATCGTGAATGTATCGATGCCTTTTTCTGGGAAACTTCGATTTTGACATGTACAATTTTTGATAAAACAATCTTTCACCTCTTTAAGAGGTATGCTTTGTTTAGTGCTATTCAATTTTCGTGGGAAATATATACAGTTCGATTGAATAGAAGTTTCTTCGATATTTTCAATACTGTTTTTAGCATTTGCAAATAAAATGGAAGGATGAAACATTTTGCGGTTATATAATGAAGAAAATCGAGTAAGATTTCAAATCGTTCGATTTCGTTCGGTCGATTAACTGGATCTACCGTCTGCAGATGTTCAGCGGATTTCAATAAACCGTTCCAAACATTTTTAAAAATGATATTCATTTGTTATCCATCGGAAGTAGGAAAGCATTTTAGATTCGAACTATCCTTCAGATTCACGTCTCCACTACGGCACGTATCATTAATAAGATCAAGAAGACTGTATTTCGTCTCATGCAAATAATCTTCTCGAATCTGCTCGTATGATTTTTCTGAACTTGTGCATTGACCGTGTGCTTCCATCTGTGCAGATAATCAAGCTGTTGAATTACATGAACCTCGATAGTCCCAATAGAGTTTTGTCAATAACATTTCATTATAGTTTTTGTAGCATACAATAATGCTGGCTGGAGCTATCCTGTTGGATTCTCAATCGATTGAAAAATACGTAAGCGGTCATTTAAAATAAATATAAAATATTTATGTAGAAATTGCATGATTGGTGATCTTTGTATGGTTATGATATGATAACTGTTAATTTGTGATCTGTCAGGATAAATTCGTTCAAATGATATAATTAACTTTTGACATTTGTATTATCTATGTCTTCGATTGTTTGCTGATATTGATGATAGGACAAAGTCAGATTGTAAACCAAATAAGGTTCCTAACCATTGATTTTCATCAATGCACATGTCAGAATATTGACGAGATGTAATGATATTCTGTTGAGCATTATATGTGAAAGCAATCCTTAAACGTGACAAATGAGTGTGAATGATAGTTTTCTTTTGCGGTAGTTGATATTGTTGTATGATATCGAATGCATTTTCTCGTAACATTTAAACATAAGATTCATCATCAAGACGATTCACATATCGTTTCAATAAAGTGTGAAAAATTTCTGACAATCGATTTATTAGAGCTTATGTTTGTTCAATATCAGTCGTAGTAGTGAAGCGTCTATCCATAATTAATACATAGGACGTATTATCTAAATAGTCTTCATCTTTAAAATGAGCTGGTCGAAATATGATTTGGTCCGTTTCTATATTCATCCAATGACTATGATTGAAGACAAATATATTCGATAATTCCTTCTCAGAGCGTGCATGCGAAATCGGTTCAAACTTTTTGTTTGTATCAGCGTGTAATTCATGAATTGTCAGGCGTTGATTTTGATCATCGAAATGAAATTCATGTCAAAATCTTCCTTTACTATGATAAGTACACTTTGTGATATAGGTATTATGCACTCTCGTCGCTTGTACTTCACAGATATAATGATCAAAGACACGATACAATCAATTGATGCCATTACCGATTCATATCGAAGATCGTGCCAACCATCATGAACATCCATCTGTCGCTTGTGCTATTTTGTATGCACTATATTGCTGCTTCGTATCACAGCTCAGCACTACTAAGACACGTTCACTCAATCGTATTAGATCTCTCATAAAGAGTCGCAGTTGTTTTAAGTAAGAAAATGACGTGTTATTTTGATGACAAAATACAATCAATGTGATATAAATTAGTAATCACTCTTATTTTGTTACATAGAATTCCTATTTAATCAAAATTGGAAGTCAATACAGTCTGAATGGTTTCTAAATCTAGTTTAATCCGTTTTTCACCAACTCGACGACATCGCAGAGCTAAATCAACAATCTTACATTTTTGTATCGAATTACAAATCTTTAAAATTCTCATTGTGGTTGCAATAATAAAAATTAAAATCAATTCATTTTGTCAATTAAATTTACAATCCTTTAAACAACGTCTTAATCGAACAATTAATTCATTAATAAAATAATCTTCTAATAGTTGTTGATGGAATTCTAGACACCAGGAACAAACGAGTTTATTTCTATCTTCTGTCATTGGTCCAGATTGATATCATGAATGTGTGACCAATATAACTACACTTTCTTCGTCGATATCTAAGGATTTTATTTCGAAGATCATCAATAGATCCCACCATTGCCGATGCTGATCTGAACCTAATGAACTGAATTCTACATGTTGTGCAGGTTTTATTTAAAGTGGACACTTTGTCAATTCTGCAATTATCTGATTCTGTTCGAATTGCGTGTTGATTATTGAAAATTGTAAATGTTTGTAATTTGGATCAATCAGTCAATGTGTTACTATAGAACATTCGAATTTGAATTCAGCTGACTTTATTGGAGAGATTTGAACTATCAGACTATTTTCACACAAGAACTCTTTTACAAAAGTGATGGCTGGAGTTGAATAGCGACCTTGCGTTATAGACTTCTTCGGGATACCATTTTGACTTTGCAATTATTTGGATCAAAATAGAATGAACGCAACTTTCCGGCGTGAGGAGGAACTTTTAACCATTCATACATAGCATTATGCTGAGGTTGTGGATGAGGACGATTCACAACTTGCCAAACAATATCTCGATAATGTCTCACTTCGATGGACATTTGTAAATCAAAAATAATGGCAAGTGCACCCTTGTGTCTAGAAGGCATTAGACATTCGTAGATGGACACTTTGATGGAGTTTACTTCTGTTAGTTGTGAACATCTTTCATATTGTCTGTTATAACGGTAATTAGCACATTCACATTCGAGATGAGCAGCTATATCTATTAGCTGTTGGTATCTATCTTTTCGTTTGGCACGGTTTACTTTCTTAATCTTGTCTTGTTCAACATTAAGTTTAATTCATTCTAAAACTTCACTCATGGATGCGGAATGGTGGGCAAAGTAGATACCGAATGCATCAACTGATTCTATATTTTTCAAAAGATTCGGATATGGTTTCTATTTGTATTGAATAAAATAATCATAGAGACGACGAGCTCGAGTCATATCTTCTCGATTCGGAAAAATCAAATATTCAAACAAATCAATGAGATTAGGAATATTAATCGCTCAAATCTTTTATTATGAAATAGTTTTTCATGCATGACAGAGATGATAGTTAATCAGAAAAGAATAAAGCGGCTGTAATCAATAGAATCAGCTTTCGAACAATAGTGATCCAGTGCAATGCTCTAATAAATATCGAAACGATTTCGTCTAATGTCTGATGATGAAGATTGGTTTATCCATTGTTTTAAACAAGATTCACCTCAGATTTCAACACGAGTTAAGATAACTCCAATCTGATATTTGCATTGTTTTTTTAAGAATTCAATGGACGGTATGGCATCAGCGTTATTCACATTCGGATATGTTGAAAAACTATTCGTTCTTATATCTGAAAATACCTCTAACCCTTTTTCTGAATGAGATCTATTCAAATAATCTTTCAACTCTTTACATGATTGATTGGTTGGATCATTTATTTTCATGGATTTTAGAAAATCAGTCTTTGAAAAAATATGTTTAATTCTCTATTGTATTTCATGTCTGATCTGTTGAATCCATGGTCGATACTGTTTGATCTGATAGATGACATTATAACGCGTCAACTTTATTCAATCGTCGTACAAGTTTTCGAATGCAGCGAACTATTTAATAAGATGATGTGTTTTAAGAATGAAGTAATTAACAATTTGTAACCAAATGTACTGATGTTTCCTAGTCGTTTAATTAAAATTGCATGAAAAACTACTCTGATGCTCATCCATAAACCGTAACGAGGGAAAGGAAATTTAACATTGTTCCATCTGATATGATCACGATGTTTTTTCTTAAATGGACTGCATAAATAAAAATTATTTTCCATTTTTATTTCTTGAAATTGCATCATCCACCATTGGCACACATATTGAGCTATTTGATATATCGTGAATTTCATCGAAAGAGTTAAATAGTTTGTAAGATTTAGCATATTCAATAGTATTAGTCATAAAATCAACTAATAGTTCACAATGAACTCGAGAAATTAATTGAGATCGATTAGACAATCGAAATGTTGACACAGGAAAACAAGAAACATTAGGTTCCAACGATGATATCATATTGTTTCTGTTGATAAAAGCAATTGCCAAGATCAAACTAACGGTTGATTATCGAAAGTTTTGTCGATTTCTATTAATATTCCAGCATTTTAAGCATGGCAATAGAGTCGTAGAAAAGCGCCTGAATCTTACTTCTCAATGACCAATTGTAAAATTGATACAGAACAATCTTTCGGATTCTGAATAACCGACCAACTTCAAACGCAATTGATCAGGGTTTTGAAAATCGGTAGAATTAAGTTTTTATTAAATGCATTGAAAAAATTGGTCATATATTCAAGTAATTTATATTCACTTTGATGATTGTACTGGACTAAAAAGTCCGTATCCGCAGATGATGGAAAATCAACTGGAAGAAATAAATGATTGAAAATTGAGACATATCTTGTTTTTGACCGTAATGCATCGTCACAGTCGTCACCTAGCATATTCGAGCACATTCAAAAAAATAAGTCTAGAAACAATCAAAATGCTGACACCTACTATTTCAGTACGTCGGCGAAATGAAAAGCAAAGTACGAAATGCGAAAAAAAAGTTGAAAAAAAAGTAAGAAAACAAGAAGCAATAATGCATGTTTTAGTCATCGTAGCGGCGGAAGGCAAGGGGAAACCACCGCTGTACACTCCCAAGCACAACATGATAAACGTCAATATTTCCAATCAAGATAACAGCGTGAAGGGGGTTCTCAGAGAGAACAACTCGCTCGGTAG